AAGGAGAAAAAAATACATAAAATTGAAGTAAGGACTAAAATTTAAAAAAAAAAAAAAAGAGATGAAAGGTGGGTATCGAACAGTGGTTTGCAAACCACAGGCCAATAGCTTCACATGGACAGCCTGCTTGTTGCGGTCCAAAAGCGGTAAGCAAATTCAAATTGCCGCGATTCAACCTCGATAAGCAAACCGCGGTATGTCCGTGAGAAGATCATAATCTTTGAACAAGCAACGGAGAAAAGAAAACAAATCTTTAGCCTTGAGATGTCGAAAACTATAATCATGTCAAATACTACTCATCAAACATGTAGCCCCTGTTTGACCCCATTAAATTTCATTACATTACATTAATTTTTCTTTCTTCTATTTTCAACCATACAATCTTTCATAAGATAATATTACATGTAAATCGAAAAATTTTCCTTCTTTTTCAACCACTCAATAAAAAAAAAAAAAAACTATTTTCCCTATTTTCATTTATAGAAAATGGGGGCCAAACGGGGCGGTAATTAATCCCATGCAAACAGTCGAGTTAGATGCAAGTCAAGAGTTTTACCTTCTCAACATTCTTTATAATGAGAGTAGGTTTGTATGAAAGAGAAGCAACATTCATAACGATTCATTCAAGTGAAGTGAAACACTTTTGTTAGAAATCCAACAACGATTATGCATTTTCTGATACCACTTGTTGCGCATGAGGCGAGGTATTTGATATGGTATGAAGTATTGATCACTACGGCAAGAACACAAGAAATAATAATTTAATTTGACAAAAGAATTTGAGATTTTATTCAGTTATAGTTGAGAGAGAAATTACGACAATATTGTGTTCTTATACAATTCTAACTTGTAGTAATAATGAGGTAAAAACCTTATTCCAACTATGAAGAGAAGCCAACTATAAGCCGTTGTTTGAGCCCCATTTTTGCCAAGAAAATTCATTTTTGAATAGTGTAATGATGTGAAATGTGTGGTTAAAAAATAAGAAAAAGTTTTAGATTTTCGTGTAATATTATTTTATTAAATAATGTATGGTTGAAATGATGTCAAAACACTGTTGCAGAATGTATTTTTTCAAAAAAATGGGGCTCAAACAAGGGATAAATAGGAATATATGTTAAACCCTAATAATAGTCATAAAGATGGAAACTATATCAAAAAATGCGTGGACTAAACAAAACAAAGAGAACCAGGATGCCAGCAGCACTTGAGTGCTAGTCAGGCTGCAGGTCATCTACTGAATATTTCGTCTCACTGCTTAAGCTTCCAGCTGGCGCCGTTAATCTCTTTTCTCTCCATAGACCCTATTTAGATGTCTTTAAGGCCCAATACAACAAATCATGCAAACCCTAGATCCGGAGAAAAATCCAACAATCTCCACTTTTACACAAATTGCACTACAACAAATGAAACTCCAAAAATTCTCCATCTGGAAAAAAACTCGATTGCATGGAATGAGCTGAACTCTTCAACAAGAACTAAACTAACTTTTCCAATGAACCCGAAAATTCTCCACCTCTTCCACAATATCCAACTGAGATAAATGAAGAATTACTTTAGGTTCCCTAAAATCACCAATGATTTAAAATTTATCGAATAAGGCCGAAACACACCCTATAACAAAATCAACACTAAATGCTTTTGTAGAAAGCCCTTTGCAAGACTCAACAACTTCAAATACACTTAAAGCATGCTCAACTAAATCAGTTTCCCTGTATCTATCTCTACTGGTTTGTCGTTTGCAATTGAATACGATGGCACCGCATATGCTAGTGGAAAAGCTACATCACACATATTTTCTTAACTCAATTGAGTTGAATTAATCAACACGGACACCCAACAAAATCCCAACGGTACTGTACCAAACTGAATATCCACAACGATACTAAACATTTGTTGATTGTTCTTCAATTATTTTGCACGATATTTGGAGGAATAATATGGAGCTAGGGTGCTATGGCGCCAAATTGGCTAAAAAAATTGACGTTAATACCAGAACTCAATGCTTGGGCGCTCTTGGAGGCCCCGTGACTAACGCTCGCTTGGCTCCAAGCTACCACTCAAGCGACAACTTTATTTGGGAATTTGTGCCCATATTTTGTATTTGTTTTTTTTATCATCTTTCCAACCATAATATATTCCCTTGAGTCTGGTATACATTTCACATGATTGTTGCCATTGTATAGCATTAAAAAACATATTGAAAGCAATACTCATTGTAACTCTCTCTTCATATAGTGGATTTCTCTCATTTGCCTTGTGGTTTTTTCCCATCTAGGGTTTCCATATAATTCTTGTTATTCGTGTGTTTGTATTTTAATTTTCATATTGCCATAATTTTTCCTCATATTTCACATCAATTAGGATCCGTTTGATTGCAAAGATGGAATTGAATTGCTTAGAAAACGAATTCCAGGGAATTGAATTGCTTAGAATTGTTTTCCTGAGAATTGTAAATTATTGTATTTGATTAGTATAATTTTTCCACGTGGAAAAAATGTTGAAATAAAAGTATTTTTTGGTGTTCGTTTGGTTTTGTTTTACATGAAAATTGTCAAGTAAAGGGATAGATTTTACTGGTATTGGGGGTGAAATTTGTTTCCATTGCCAACAAAAAAAAAACAAAAATTTCAAGAAAATCATTTATCTTTTGGTGTTCGTTTGGCTTTGTTTTACATGAAAATTGCCATTTAAAAGGAAATATTTTTTTACAATAATTCTTAGAATTTCTTTCCATTATTAAAAAAAAATGCTACAGTAGGTAGGAAAACCTGGGAAATTGGTTTTCCCTAAAAACAAAGAAAAGTTCAAACTTCAAGAAAACCAAGAACTCAAATTCCATGGAAAAAAAATGTATCAAACATCTAAAGTTGGAAAATCCAATTTCAATTCCATTTTCCAATTCCAATTCCACCCTACCAAACACACCCTTATAGTAATTAAACGGAGTTAAATGATTTTTCTCAAGTTGAACATTTTAAATGATTATAATATTATTCAAACTTTTTGTTAAAAGTTTTTTCATTAATTCTTGTGCTATATTTTTTTTAAATAATAATAATAATAGTTCACATTGGATTGTGACACATGGATTTAACGAAAATGATAAATAGACAAGCTAAAAAATAGGAAACAAAAAATAGGGTGATGTGGCAGCAAGTTGTTTTTTTTTTTTTCAAACTTTCCAATCATGCATCGATACGTGTGCATCCGATTTTTCAACCCGCTTCTATAGAATTACTACAAATTTAATAAATTAGAAGATTTCACTTGGAACTTTTTCCAGTGATTAAATAATCCCTTACTTGGCAATAATTGTAGGTAATATTCAACTAAAACAATCGCAAATTTCAATCTTTAACACGCCGTTGATTGGAGTGAGGTTGTGTCGTAATTGATTTTCCGCGAATAGAGATGTTTATGAAGACCACATGTTCTAGCCCATTACGCACGCACGCTATGAGAAATTATAGTGGAATCTACTTCATTGTGGGACAGACATTCTCTACTTGTGCTTCGTATATAAAATGACTAAATGAGCACACAATACTTGAAAAACTTCAATCTTCTCTAATTACTGCAAAGATGATATCAGAAAAAATGATGGAGATTAACAGATTCATCAAAATATTGTTTGTACTTTCATTGTCCATGAAATTTACTCCAGTTTATACTGCTGAAGTCAGGTGTATAGAGAGAGAAAGACAAGCTCTTCTCCAATTTAAGCATGACCTTGTTGATGACTATGGCGCTCTCTCATCATGGGGAAATGAAGAAGTTAAAAAGGAATGTTGCAAATGGTGGCGCGTCTTGTGTAGTAAGGAAATCGGTCGCGTAGTTTCACTTGATCTGCGTGATTTTTATCTGAAAGGTAAGCTTAACCCCTCACTGCTTGAGTTGCAACATATGAATTATTTGGACCTGAGTGGTAATGCTTTTACTGGTAAAGTTCCATGTGAACTTGGAACCTCACAAATCTGCATTTTCTTGACCTTGGTTATAACAATTTGAGAATCAAGAGCCTCGAGTGTCTTTCTCATCTTTCTNGGAACCTCACAAATCTGCATTTTCTTGACCTTGGTTATAACAATTTGAGAATCAAGAGCCTCGAGTGTCTTTCTCATCTTTCTTCATTATCATATCTTGGCTTGAATGGTGTTAGCTTTGTAAATCAAACCAGCTGGTTGCACCACATAACATGGTTCCCTTTCCTCGAGGAACTGCACTTAACAGGCTGTCAACTTCTCAACCCAGTGCCTTCCTTTGATATCTTTACTAATTCTTCTTTATCCCATCTATCTATCATCGATCTATCCTTCAATAATCTCACTTCCTCTTTCACATTCCACTGGTTGTTTAACTTCAGCGCAAGTCTTACAAGGATAGACCTATCTTACAATCAATTAGAGGGTCTTATTCTTGATGCCTTTGGGGAATTGACTTTTCTTGAGAAGCTTTTTTTGAAAAACAATATGTTCCACGGCGGGATTCCAAATTCTATGGGGAATTTAAGTCATTTAAATGCACTAGATATATCATACAATAAATTAAATGTTCCCTCACAGATATTGCCAGATAACAACAATAAGTTGAATGGGTCTAACCCTCAAAGCCTTGGGCTACGTTCAAGTCTTAAAATTATAGACTTGTCTCACAATCAATTGAAAAGGATACCCAAAGGTATTGAGAAACTGTCCAAGCTCAAAGAGTTACATTTGTCTTCAAATTTGTTGGAGGATACAATCACCGAATGGCACCTCTCAAACCTTGCCAACTTAGAAATTCTAGATTTGTCCTCAAACTCCTTGGCTTTCAACTTGAGCTCAAATTGGATTCCTCATTTTCAAATAAAAGTCTTATTGCTCAGCCATTGTTATTTGGGGCCTCATTTTCCAAACTGGATTCAAACTCAGAATATTCTTGACATCCTTGATATCTCTTTTGCTGGTATGTCAGATGCATTACCTAATTGGTTGTGGAAGACGCCTGTTCCAATGTACTTAGATCTTTCCCATAACAACATTACGGGTAAAATTCCTAATTTGCCCTCAGAGTGGAGTTTCCCTGGAACTATAGATTTAAGTTATAATAATTTTTCAGGTCCAATTCCATTATTTCTTTTTTATTTTTCAAAATTAAAACTTACCAAAAATACGTTTTCGGGATCCATTTTTCACTTATGTACAATTCCTCAGTACTTGATCATTGGCATCCTCATGCTTGATCTCTCGGATAACAGATTGGAAGGAGAGCTTCCTGATTGCTGGATGAACATGAGGAATTTATTTGTTCTGGATTCGGCAAATAATAAGTTCTCAGGTAAAATTCCCCACACTTTGGGCACTTTGGGTCAGCTTGTAATATTACACTTGCGCGACAATAATTTCATTGGTGAATTGCCTTCAACTTTGAGGAATTGAGTGGGGCTGAGAACGCTTGATGTGGGAGGAAACAAGTTAACGGGAAATATATCAAAATAGTCTAAATAAAAGGAGGATTTTCCAAATTAGACTAAGAAATAAAAACATTTCCAAAATAACCTTTAAAAAATTA